CGAAGTTTACTTTGCGTCGCTCAAATCGAAGTCGAAACAAATGGATCGACGTTTCCGGATAATTCAAAGATTAACCATTTGTCGCTACCATTTAAAATACCACCGCCAGGATACGATGACGGCGTTTTTCTGAATGGACATTTAAATTTGCCCCAGTGGAATTTTATGTACGGCCAATCGAAAAAGGATCATGACTGATTATTTGTAATCGTGAGTTATATTATTAACACTAGATTCACGGGTTCCGTCAAAATTACGGGTCACTAATTTTCTAATTTACGATTATTCATACCGTAGAAATATATTTATCAGTTATTTATTCAATTTATATGTTACTTACGGCAAATGTTACAATAACACCTGTTAAAAATCAGAATAAATATCTTATTGTATTACTTTCATAAACTAATATAAAACAGCTGTTCTTTGTGCTCCGTAAATCTAGCGTTAACAGTTGTTTCCTTATTTGATGCCTAATAAATTTTTGCATAAAATAATCTACACATTCAATCTCACATTTCATCAAGTATTTCAATCACAGAACGCAATACAAATTCCAATATATCAATACGAATAAAGCAACAGTGTTTTGAGCCATTCAGACATTTAAATCTCGAGCGTCTTGCAGCGTTAGATACGCGGCAAAGGGTTAATTAGATTACAGTGCTTGGCAGATGTTCAACGGTCAGATGTTTTACGATTATTTGTCTCAGTCTTCGCGACCACCTACGGGAGTCCCTAATTCGACCCGTCGTAACATCTTCCGCTATACCAATTATTATACCACACGTCACCGTTTCCGAGTACTATTTCATTACGAGCGATCCTTGGTCGGTAAGACCCAACACAGGGCACGGTTCGGGTCGGGGACTGGCTCCACATTTTTGCGCCGTCTCCGTGCCAACTCCGAGCTGCCAGCGATAGACAATTTCCGGTTGGACCGCGAGCGTGGTCGTGCGGGACGCATCGGGGTCGATTTAATTTCATAAACCGCAACTGTTGCCACTATTCGGTCGGAAAAGGGAGCGCGAGACTAACGGTTACGAGCTCGACCTCCTGCTCTTAATCGCGCGGCCCTGTGCCCCCTCTGGATGGAACTTCCCCGACGCGGTGCACGAAATCGCCCTTCGGCTCGTTCCCCGAACGGTGCCTCTCGTCCCGTCGCGTTCCGTCTGGCCTCGTCTCGTCGTCGACTCGTCGGACGTCTTTTTGCGTCGGATGGAAGAAAACGAGATCGATCGGCAGTCGATCGGCTCGATGCGCTCCCCGAATCGCTGCCAAGAAGGACCGCCGGACCGGGAGAGACGCGGCGCAAAAAGCCCGACCCGAAGGAATTCGAAGCGGACCGCTGGGCCCGACACGTGCTGCGCGCGTTCCGCTCGCTCTCCTCTCCTCTCCTCTCCGCTCCTCGCCGCGCCGCGCCGCGTAGCGTAGCGTTGCCAGGCGCACCGTTCGGTAATTTCGATGGGCGGCCATATCAACGATATTCCGATGACGACGCTCGCAGTCGGGCCTCGAACGGGCCGAACGGGCAGCAAGGGGATGGTTCGTAGCCGCGGATGTCTCCGGCATTGTATGCAGATGAAGAAGGCAGGGCGACAATGACTCGGGACAAGCCGGGGCCGAGGACCCAAGCCGCTCGCTCTATCTTCGAGCTCGGAGTCTTCGAACTCATCCGGCAGGAGCCCTCCTTCGGCCCGTGCTTCGCCACCACCGTCCTCGCCCTCCTGCCCTCGCATCGCCCACCCCTCGGCAGACACGCTTTTACGTACTACGCATCCATGCATTAACATGTCATCATCGCGCGGAAACCGCCCTTCTCCTCGACCTTCCTGCGGACGTCGTGTCTCGGGACGCGCGACGCGACGCCCCCTGCGAGGACCCACACGCTTCTATTGTGCGGGCCCTATCGTGGGCGGGCGGAAATCCTACGGCGAGCTGGGCCCAATTTTGCCGCGGTTTTGGAGCGGTATAATTGATGGAAAAATTCGGTCGACCCACGCGAGATTCGAGATTTCTTCCATCTTACTAACAAGGGGAGCGTCGAGCATGTTTCGCACCGATTTCAACGAAATTTGGCAGACTGGTACATTTATGCCTACAATAAGTTTAGCTAAAATTTTAGTCGTATGTGGTCAGTCAATTATGAGAAGATTAGGTGCAAAGTTTACATAAATTTGGTAAGCTGCGACGCTTGGCGCTACACCATAGCTGCTGTTAGATCTCCGACCTTACGGTTCCAATAGTATTGTTATAATATATGGGCTCATAGCAATTTTCACAAATTTTCAAATTTGACAAATCATCCAATTTTCTCATAATTGATTTCCCATATACGGCCAGAACTTTAGCTAAGTTTATGCAGGTATCAGATATGTATACTGTCACATTTCTCACATACTATCAGCCTGTCACATTTCCTTGACACGAGAATGGGGCACTTTCATTTGCCTGTTCATGATTTACACTTTGGTCAGTGATCCTATCCTTAGATTATCCCAAACCTGAGGAGAGAGATATAACCTTCAATACGATACAGAAGAATGAATCGTTAACGATGTCTACAAGGTGGTCGGATCTGCAAGACTCGTAGTCTTACAGGTGTGATCAAGAAGACCCTAATTTCAAGATTCAAGTAGAACCTAAACGGGAGGCTCGGTCAATCAGTTACTCGAAGCAGATCATCGCAAATAAAAAGTCCCAACACGAGTGAATCCTATGCACAAATGCAACAACCCAATGGTGCATTCGTTCTCCACATCGTTCTCCAACGTTCAATGAACCGAACACAAAATCCTGCACCATGAGGATCTACCAGAGCCACCAGAATGCTACCAAAATCTTCAACCATTAACACCATTAATTCAGATCGCCCCAAAGTCGTCCAAATCTATCAAAACCTTGGCTGCTCGCTTGAAGGTTGCATCGCGGAGAGTGTTCCATCGCGTCCACGACGGAGACCTCGAAAAGAAAGCGCCGAGTCGCTGGAATCGCCTCGCAAGGGCCGGACGAAGGGAAGCCGGGGAGAGGGCTGGAGACACATCGGTCGAATCAAACCTCTGGAAAATCGTTGACGAGAGTATTTCGGTATCGCGAGGGGAGTTTGGGAGCGGGTCGATACGACGCCGGGGGTTGTTTGGCAGATACGCGTACGCGCAAAGGTAGAGGGCCGAGCGGAGCCGGGCCGAGCCGAGCGGCGCGGTGCCGGGCCAAGCGAAAGGTAGAGAGCAGAGGCAGAGGCAGAGGCAGAGGCAGAGGCAGACGGGACTGCGGGCGTTGGTGTAGGAAGAGCTGGATTGGTAAACCGGTCACGTAGTGCTCGGCGATGAATGGACCCGGCGAGTCGAGGCCAGAGCCGGGAATTGGCTACTGGGCATACCACGACCACCTACCCCACTGCGTCAGCTTTAGCCACCCCACGGCAACGTAAAATTACAAAGAGAGGTGCTCAAACCCGGGCTAGCTTCTCGCGCGCGTTCTCCTCGCCGCTCGCTAGCACGAAATTGCCTCGTCGAACGGCCGAACGAGAGACCCTCCTCTCCACCCAGAATGCTCCTTCAACGTTTCCCTTCGAAACCCACCGACTTTGCACTTTCGACTTTTTCGCCTGTCCTCCCCCCTCTCACTCTCTCTCTCTCTCTCTCTCTCTTCGTCGCGGCCTTCCGATCACGAAACTGCTCTGCCACCGTTACGCTCGCAATAAAACGATTCTCCTTAAACCGCCGCTAACTGTCTGTAAATTTCAGGTTGTCGCGGACCCGATGGATTATCGACCGCGTTCCCGAGGTAATCAGGATTCCATTTGCGGAATCCTCGAGGGCTCGCGACGCTGCCCCGTTCGCCGCGCGACTCGTTCCTCGGACAAGTCCGAATCTCTGACTCGTGGGTCAGGTCGAGCCCCCTCGTGCAATCTAAACCGCGCCGCCGATCTGCCATAAAGTCATTTCGTAGGCCATCCCGAGGGTTAAGTGCCGGCGATGCCCGGATCCCGGGTTAAGCGGTCCAACTTGCGCGAAGCTTCTCTCTCTCTCTCTTCCTCTCGCCTCCTTTCCTCCCTCGGCCCTTAAAATCGCGGTCCAAAGTGCGCACCAAATGAATAAAATATGGACGAAGCTGGACAAGGTGCGCCGGCCGTAAGTTTCGTTGAGATCTGTATACTACAACTTGCTGGGATAATTCGTCCCACGGTTCAAGGGCTCGGAACCCTTCACGCTTCGATTAAACTTGTTACTCATGTATCTTCCACTTTCCTAGAATTTCCCAATAGCAGCACGTTCCGTTATAAAATAAATCAATCGACGTCGATCTGAGTTTCAATTAACAATATTATTTGGCCAAACCTGCGTCGCGGTGTCGCCGTTTTCGGTTTTCCGGGAAGGCGTTGAGTTCGAGGGGAACGAAGCGTTAAATCGGGAAGGAAATCCGCGATCGGAGGGACGCGGACGGAGGAGCAGAGGCAGGACCGGTGACAGTTGGGCCGGGATTAAAAAATAAAAGCTCGTTGTAAATCATACGGCGTGTCGACGAGCGCGGCGGCGGCTGCAGACCTCGGCTGGTATCGCGAGGCGAAGATGGGGTGGCTGGGGAGGCGAAAACCCTTTCGTTAATTGCTCGACGCAGATGCCGGTCGTTGCAGCCGCTTTTTACGAGCCGCTCTTTCCCCAGACGCTTTACGAACGGCGCGGAGACGCGCTAGAAAAAGTGAGGATCCTCGCGAAAAGAAAGTCGGGCCTCCGACGAGCCTTCTCTTCTGTTGATGCGGTCACGATTTCGGGAAAATAGTTCTCAAGGTCGTGCGAAGGAATCTTGAGGCGAAGGTCGCTGGACGAGCGAGTTGCGTGGGATTCTTGCGGAGAAAATACTGCTTTCTAAATTTTTGTGTGCCGTTTTGAGTTGCTCGACGAAGCCTTGTTTTCTTTGCAAGGATTATTGATAAAACTGAAAGAACATCTCGCGGGAAATGGAAGATGAATCTGGGATACAGAACAAGAGACAGTCGGTTACATAAAATAATGTATTTATTGTTAATACCCCACTTCGCTACAGCGATTAACATTGATTTAACACAATTTATACCGTAATTCTATGTAATGTATGCATTTCCACACTGACACGATGCCTCGCTGCGACGACAGGACCCTGGGAGAAGAACGATCGCTTGCATCTGGACGATACGAGACAAATCTGTAAGCTGCAACATCACAAGCAAAACCCTCTTAGAACATCGAACCCTCGCAAACGGTCGAAAGATCTAGTTCGCGATCGATTTGCAGCAGGGGCGGTGGAGGATGACGATTTGGGATTTTTTGACGGATCGTACCGGGATTTCGTGCGGGATCGGCGGGATTCTCAACGGGCACCGCCTTCCGTGGGTCCGAGAGTGTCCTCGGATATCTCCGAGGCGAGATCTCTTCTTCCCCGAGACGAGGAAGGGGCCAGGGACGGCGGAGGAGGCCACGGAAACGTTATTAATTGGCTACACGATAAAACAGTGTTAGTCCCCATTCGCTGTCCTTCGCTGGACCCCCCCTGGCTTCTCCTTAAGATATGGGGCCACGCGACTTCCAGGCACCTGTGTGCGCCCGTTCTACCTGTGCGTGTGCATGTGCGTGCGCCACGCCGCGCCGCGCCGTGCCGGAGGTCCGCGGGATTCGGGCCCCGCGAAAAGGAACGTCTCGACCTCGCCGAGGATCGCGCGGTTTCGAGCGGAACCGACCAGGAATTTCGGAGATCGGATAGCGAATTCCCACGGGAGAAAACACGATCCACGGGGTGTTCGTCTGATCCGGATCCTGGCATTCTGAGACTCTCGTCCACTGCCTTAGCGAATTTTGTAATCAGCGCATCTTCATGCGTTTTTGCAATTTACAGATTTTTAATAGACGGTTCAATGTTTTAGTCGATCCTCGTTCGTGTTATTGGAAGAATTTAACTCTCTGCTGTCACGCTTACTATGCAAAACTGGTGTGCCATACTGGACCACTCAGACTCGATTCAATATCTAAACAACTGCCACTGTTTTCAGTTTATTATTTGCTAGTTTTTACTAGCAAAACTGTTGGGACCCGAAAAATTGAGAAAATAATTTGAACATTTTAGAACAATGTTTCCTTCACTAAAACTCGATATCTCACTTATAAGTGGATTGAATGAATTGTTAATTTCATTTTTTTCATGACAATATCATTTTCTCGAAAAGAAAAATATTGGAGATTGTTCGTAATTATTTAGTTTGGGATAATTTCGCATTCGTTGGCATAAGTTTAGCATTCGTGGCAACAATGAATAAGCGAAACGCAGACCGATGAGAACATCAGAAGAATTTAAGAACATTCTTCTTCTTCTTAAAATTTAGAATAGCGTCGACTACTACATTGGGAATCGCGGGAATCTTATTTCTCCATTTTACTATAGTATTTTCAATTCATTGAAGCTACAAAAAGAAGAGGTACATCTTTATTTAACTCTTGTTCCGTACAACTGATGCAAACAATTTTTATCTTGCATAAATATCCGCTGTCTATCGATTATACCGATTTCAGAAGCATTGCGTCAATGCGACATCAACAGACAAATTAAATTGTTCAAAGAAGGGAATAAAGATCTTCTGTCGCATCGTCATCGTAAAGCTCTTGGATTCTTTGCACAACAAAGTAGGACATGTTCCTAAAACTCGTGCGAAGGGTTAAAAAATCTCGACGCCCATTCGAATTCTATAAATTCCAGCGGGGCGCGAGCACCCTCCTACGGCGCTGACTATATTTTAATTTATAGGCGCCGCTAATTAAGTGGTAGCGACGGTCGGCGCGCGAGAGGTAATTAAATTTCGCGCGCGCGAGACGAAAGAAACGGGGAAAACACAAAGGGGAGACCTCGCAGTGGCCGCGTCCACCCCCGTCGTCGTCCGGCTCGTCCTCGGACCGTTCGTTTTTTGCTCGTTCTTCGGTTACAACGCGAATGCCTTGGACCCGCTCCCTCCGGGTCGATTCCCCCGATCGTGCTTTCCGCTCCGCGCCAGTCCGCTCCTTCTCGATTTCTGTTGCGGCCGGAGGATCGGCGGGTCCTTTGGCTGGCTCGTTACACAGACTCCGGTGTCGATGGGGTATATATATCGCGTGTGTTTCGCGTTTCGTACCCCTATCGGTTCTCGTCGACCCCCTCCTCGCCCCTCCCCCACCCCTCGACCGCTCCCTCTCTCTCTCTCCCTCGCTCTTCCCTTCGCCGTCTCTCCTCGTTTTTTTGCAATCGCGGTGCGTGCATGTCGGCCGTTGTTGGCGTTGTTGTTGTTGTTGTCCCTCCCATGGACAAGGGAGCGAGCGTATGAGCGCTATAGGCCATAAGGGCTAACAAGGCGATTACTCATGCCTCCCATAAGAAGAAGTTACAAGCGGGTTCGAAGGTTTATTGCGGCAAATGGCGAAATTTGTACCTTGCTAACGATCGGCCGTCTTTTTTGCTCCCCCGTCTCTCGCGAACCCCCTCCCCCGGTGTGTCGCTGTCCCCCCTCGACGCTCCCGGATCGGGTACACGGGTACACGGACCCGCTCTAGTCTACCCTCCACGGTAATAATTAACGAATCGCAACGAGTTGATCCACGAGCCCGCGATTACCCTTCCTCCGCACCGACAGACCTCCAATCGTAAATCCCACGCGGCCTCGAAAATCGCGAACCCTCCGACGTCCTCAGCCCCCTGGACATCGGTCCTCGTGTACCCGCCGAATTATTCGCTACCGTCCTTTGATATTTGGCCGCGTAAATCTTTTCGCGAGAAATCCCTTTTTTCGGTTATTATCATTTCTTTCGGAACACTGACCTGGACCTAAGGCGCGTCCATTGTGCTTTTAGTCGAGTGGAAAAAGGCGACATAATACCTGACGAAGAACTATCCTCTCGGAGATCCAAACGAAATACTGCGAATTTCATCGCACTTTTATTAAGCGAGATTAAAATATCGAAAACAGAGGTTTCGTTCAAATATTAATAGTCTTCTGTGTTCTTCGGAGGATTCGACAGTGGCCAAATATTTAAGGACCGTAGTTGCGGTAGGAATTTAATTACGAATTCGTCGAGATGCTTCTTACCTCGAATCCGACGACGATCCAGACCGTTTCCATGTTCGAAAATACCGGTGCACCATCGCCCTGCACTTCCGGAGGACCGGGTTGAAGACGCCGATGGCTGCCTCGAGGTGGATCCTGCGCGTCTCGGGCCCTGCGGCTGGCGGGACCGGGAGGGATCCGTGGAACGTTCGATGATCCGAGGTCAGGAAACTGTAATTTCACAAAGGAGAGCCTTAATTTGGGATCCTGCCATTCATAATTACGGTGGCTAACGTCTAAATAGCTTCGTCCCCTTTTCGTCTTGCCTTCCGTATCGCCTGGACCTGCGCCAATTGCTAAACACTCAACCTTCGGTCACTTATCATATATTTAATTGAAATGAATAGTATACTTTCGTTTCGTCTCTACAACAGGTAATCTTGGTATTCGGATCGCTTGTCTTTTTGGGAGGAATCGTATTTTGTTGATCCTCGGACGGCGGAGCATTTTCACAAGCGTACAGTTGAATAGAATCATAGTGACTTAAGTCACAATTTCGAAAATATATCTTAAAATGCAACTTATGTGTACATACCAAAATGTTAAAACGACAAATAAAATAAATTATAAAGTTACAATGAATTAACCGAACTGTAAATTATCTTAACAATAAACTTGGTCAGTAAACGATACGCATGGTAGTAAAAAATAAAACATTTCAGAATGAGGAAAATGCGACTTACGCCGTTACGTTACCAGCTCATTCGATCGACGATGATTTGTGATCATTCGCAGCTTTGTTCAGTAATCTTTCAAGATATCCAGGGTGTCCCAAAAATGTCTGTCTATCCGGAAATGGCGGGTTCCTCGGATCATTTGAAGCAGCTTCTTCCTTTACAAAAATGTTCTCCGTGGCACCGTTAACGAGTTATTAACGAAAAAAACAGTGACCAATAAGAATCGAGTACGGCTGACGCGAGGCGGCCCAGCCAACCAGCGCGCGAAGTCCAGTTCCGCTCATTGGCTCGGTCGCCTCGCGCCAGCTGAGCTCGCCTCGTATTGGTCACTGTTTTTCGTTAATATGTCGTTAACGGTGCCTCGGAGAAAATTTTTATAAAGGAAGAAGTTGTTTCAAATGATCCGAGGAACCCGCCATTTCCGGATTCTTGGGACACCCTGTATATTTGAAGATACTTGTTGTAGATCTATCAGTCTTTCTGTCGTTTCCAATACAGCAGCAATATATTTAATTTAATTGCCAACATTTAGGTAATCAAGTAAACTTCTTGCTGCCTTTAGACCACGTTGAGATTTTGGAAATAATCACGGTATCGACAAATTTGTATCGAAAGTTTCAGCGACTCGAGGGCACAGTTCCAGACCGATTCGCAGTCCGAGTAAGTTCAAGTTCGAGTAGCTCACACCGCCTCACACCGGGCAACAATGTTCGAGCTTGGTCGGACAGGTTCATAGAAAACTGGTCTACGCTTTCTCCGGCGATTCTGCCGCGGAGTTTCCATTAGTCGCCTAGCTGGCGACAAGTCGATCGCGCTCTCGACACTACAATTAACGCGATTACACGGTACGTTCCACATTACCGGCTAACGGCTACGAATCGAAATAATTATGACATTAGTGACGCAAAGCAGCCGGCTCGATAATGATCGCCCGGATCTAAGCAATGTTGTAGGATCGCAGGTGACAATTACCCGACCAAGCCGGCCCCCGTTTAGCCGTCCACGAAACGAGATTAATCGGCCGATCGCTATCGTCTCCGCGATAGTAATCCCTCTCGCGTACAGATATCGGAGTTCTTCCGGAAAAGCTGCGTGTTTCGCAGCAACGAGGCGAGATTGCGTCACCACGCCCTGGGTCGACCGTCCGCTCCTATCGAAGAGAATGCGGCTCGATCGCGCGNAACTTGGTCAGTAAACGATACGCATGGTAGTAAAAAATAAAACATTTCAGAATGAGGAAAATGCGACTTACGCCGTTACGTTACCAGCTCATTCGATCGACGATGATTTGTGATCATTCGCAGCTTTGTTCAGTAATCTTTCAAGATATCCAGGGTGTCCCAAAAATGTCTGTCTATCCGGAAATGGCGGGTTCCTCGGATCATTTGAAGCAGCTTCTTCCTTTACAAAAATGTTCTCCGTGGCACCGTTAACGAGTTATTAACGAAAAAAACAGTGACCAATAAGAATCGAGTACGGCTGACGCGAGGCGGCCCAGCCAACCAGCGCGCGAAGTCCAGTTCCGCTCATTGGCTCGGTCGCCTCGCGCCAGCTGAGCTCGCCTCGTATTGGTCACTGTTTTTCGTTAATATGTCGTTAACGGTGCCTCGGAGAAAATTTTTATAAAGGAAGAAGTTGTTTCAAATGATCCGAGGAACCCGCCATTTCCGGATTCTTGGGACACCCTGTATATTTGAAGATACTTGTTGTAGATCTATCAGTCTTTCTGTCGTTTCCAATACAGCAGCAATATATTTAATTTAATTGCCAACATTTAGGTAATCAAGTAAACTTCTTGCTGCCTTTAGACCACGTTGAGATTTTGGAAATAATCACGGTATCGACAAATTTGTATCGAAAGTTTCAGCGACTCGAGGGCACAGTTCCAGACCGATTCGCAGTCCGAGTAAGTTCAAGTTCGAGTAGCTCACACCGCCTCACACCGGGCAACAATGTTCGAGCTTGGTCGGACAGGTTCATAGAAAACTGGTCTACGCTTTCTCCGGCGATTCTGCCGCGGAGTTTCCATTAGTCGCCTAGCTGGCGACAAGTCGATCGCGCTCTCGACACTACAATTAACGCGATTACACGGTACGTTCCACATTACCGGCTAACGGCTACGAATCGAAATAATTATGACATTAGTGACGCAAAGCAGCCGGCTCGATAATGATCGCCCGGATCTAAGCAATGTTGTAGGATCGCAGGTGACAATTACCCGACCAAGCCGGCCCCCGTTTAGCCGTCCACGAAACGAGATTAATCGGCCGATCGCTATCGTCTCCGCGATAGTAATCCCTCTCGCGTACAGATATCGGAGTTCTTCCGGAAAAGCTGCGTGTTTCGCAGCAACGAGGCGAGATTGCGTCACCACGCCCTGGGTCGACCGTCCGCTCCTATCGAAGAGAATGCGGCTCGATCGCGCGGGGATTTTCCAGAGCAGAATAATTTCCACGCCGCGGAACGCGTCACGTACTTGCGCCGCGGCGTCGGAAATGATTTTTTTCGAAAAAGCGGACGCAACGCTCGCGGCGCGTGAACTGTGGACGTTGATCGATCGCGGAGTCTCGCAGCTCTTCGAGGCGGCTTCCTCTTTCCCGATGGAAAAACTCCTCGGAGGGAAGGAGCCCGTTTCCACGCTGGCCCGCGCCGAACGGGACGAGACCCATTAGTCTTCGCCAAGGAGACGCGGGGAAATTCGAGGATATTAATTTAAATCGCATGCCGCCGCGCCGGGGGCCTGGCATCGTAAATAAAGAAGCGGCCGGAAAGAGTTCCAGCGATGAAGTGGACCGACCTTGGCAAACGGGGAGGCGCCGATGGCTGGCCTAATTGATCATCGAATGCGAAATAGAGCGATCGAGCACGCTGTTACCCTTTAAACGGACCAAGCAACTCTTTTCCTGTCGGTTACCACGGAAATTCGGCTAAATTCTTGGCAAGAATATTGCAAATATTCTTGCAAATATTCACAATTTCCTGCAGCTGTCAGCTAGTTCATCGATTCAGGGTTTAAATATCATGTCGCCGTTCCATCCAAAGTATTCTACAAGGATTTTATCCTTGTACAATAATTAGAGGTTTTCTGATTGTAGTAATTTCTTAGAAAGACAAAATAATTTATATTTGTTGTGTGCCTACATTTATCCGAATGCTAAAATATTGATGACAGAATCTGATTTCGACTTAAAAAAAGAAGGAATACCATTCGTTCTTAACGCATTATTACTCCAGATTATTATTTAACCTCCATTAAAACTCAAACTCGTCAAAGTGTCGCAAGGGGTTAAAAAAAAAATTCGGGAGGAATCCGACTGAAGAAAATAGAAAATTGCCTGTTGGACTGCTTAATTAACGACAGAACATTGTGGAGATTCTTGTGGTAGAGCCTCGCAGGATCTCATCCCCTAAGCGGGCGCAACCCTTTCCCAATCGTCTATCCAGGACACTTTTCTGCGTGTGCAGACTGCCGGAGAAAGACAAAACGGAGGGCGACGGTTGAGATGGCTGGTGCAGAGCGGCTTCTTCTTTCCAACAACGGTCACCCTGGGCCGTTTCAGTGCAGGAGGAACCCGATTCGAAAACTGGATTCCGATGCAGCCTGAAAGAGGCTGCGCACGGACGAGGGTAAGCGGAGCAATCTCTGCTTGCAGCGGAGTCTCCCTTCCGCAGAGAAATGCGAGGTGTTCTGCTAGCAGATACTTCTTAGACTGAGATCCCGCAAAAAAAAGATCAACACGAACGATGATTTCGGGATGATCAGACGGAAGATCGAAGAACCAAAACATACACACAGTTAATTAAGATCAATCGAGTCTCTATCTTCGAATATTATAGAAAGTAATGTGTAATAGTGAAGATGCTACATAACTTTCGGGATAAGAAATAATCAATGCCAGGACTGCATACAATTGTGCTCATAGGCTCTTTGATTATTCTCTACGGAAATATATACAGAGTGTCCCAAAAATGTCTCGCAATCGGGAAATGGCAGGTTCCTCGGATCATTTGAAGCAACTTCTTCCTTTACAAAAATTTTCTCCGAGGCACCGTTAACAAGTTATTAACGAAAAACAGTGACCAATAAGGATCGAGTACGGTTGACACGAGGCGGCCCAGCCAACCAGCGCGCGAAGCCCAGTTCCGCTCATTGGCTTGGTCGCCTCGCGGCAGCTGAGCTCACCTCTCATTGGTCACTGTTTTTCGTTAATAACTCGCTAATGGTGCCTCGGAGAAAATTTTTGTAAAGGAAAAAGTTGCTTCAAATGACCTGAGGAACCCGCCACTGTCGGATTGCGAGACATTTTTGGGACACCCTGTATAATAAAAGTCGAAGGATTTTTGCGCGATTAGAAGAGAAGTCTGAGTGATGCGCGATACACCCTATATCATCCAAGATGAAGAGAATGCCTCGCAAATGGAAGAAGCATCGTTCGTGGAAGATGCAAAAAAATCGCAGTTGACGAGCAAAGATCCCGTACATTCCGGTTCCAG